TATCTATCTATCTACCTCCCTCCCTCCCTACCTATCTATCTACCTATCTATCTATTATCTATCTATCTATCTACCTATCTATCTATCTATCATCCATGTATCTATCATCTATCTATCTCATCTATATCTATTTATCATCTATCTATCTATCTATCTATCATCTATCTATCTATCTATCTATCTATCTATCTATCTATCTTTATCTCTCAAGAATCCCTCAGAAAGAGGGAGAGACCCATGGGCCCTCTGACTTGATAATCAACCCACCAATAGCTGTCTTTCAGGTGATGGTACTCAGAGAGGGACATCCATCCCTCCAAACCTTTCTAGGCTGTGCAAACTTGGTCAAGTTTCTTTTTTTTAATTAAAATATACTTTATTAATTTTTTACAGAGAGGAAGGGAGAGGGACAGAGAGTTAGAAACATCAATGAGAGAGAAACATCGATCAGCTGCCTCTTGCACACTCCCACTGGGTATGTGCCCGCGACCAATGTACATGCCCTTGACTGGAATCGAACCTGGGACCCTTGAGTCCACAGGCCGACGCTCTATCCACTGAGCCAAAGCGGTTAGGGCTTGGTCAAGTTTCTTAACCCCTGTGCCTTAACTTCCTCATAGGTAAATGGGGACCAGTGTCTGCCTCATAGGATAAGGATATTTTAAATGAGTCATTACTTGTAATGGATTTAAACAGTGTGTGGAAGGAAGGAACTATTACAAATATATTCTGTTTAAAGATAAACATTTTCCATGTGCCTCAGATGAGATACTGGCAAATGTCCTATTGGGCGGGGGAGGGGGGGAAGCAAGCAGGCAAGCCAAAGGAAAGGAAAGGAGGTAAATTTATTTATCTTAATTCAGTGGTAACAGGTTAGTGGCCACTGGGATGACTGGGGTATTCTCAGCAGAACAAGGAGAACAAAGACTGAATTTCTAAAATTTTATTTTTCAACCACAGTTTATATTCAACACCATTCTGCACCCATGTCAGATACACAGCAAAGTGGCACCCTACAGAGTGGCCCCTTGCTTCCCTAAGCACCCACCTGGCCCCATACCCAGTTATCTCAACATTATTAGCTATATTCCCCATACTGCAATCCGAATCTCTGGTTATTCTGCAACTACCAATAGGTACTGCTGAACTTTTTTACTCTTTTTTTAAAATATAAATTTTTTTTATTGATTTCAGAGAGAGAAAGGGAGAGGGGGAGAGAGAGAGAGAGAGAGAGAGAGAGAGAGAGAGAGAGAGAAACATCAATGATGAGAGAGAATCATTGATCAGCTGCCTGGGGACCGATCCTGCAACCTAGGAAAGTGCCCTGACAGGGAATCAAACCGTGATCTCCTGGTTCCTAGGTCGATACTGAGTCACTGAGCCACACCGGCTGGGCAACCTCTTCACCTTTTTCACCCAGCTCCCCAACGCCCCTCCCCTCTGACAGCTGCCAGTCTGTTCTCTGTATCTATGAATCTATTTCAATGTTGTTTGTTTGTTTATTTTGCTCATTAGATTCCACATATCAATGGGATCGTATGGTATTCGTCTTCCTCTGACTGGCTTATTTCATTTAGCACAATACTCTCCAGGTCTAAAAGCCAAATTTGAAATGAAATAGTCAACAGCTCCATTTTCAGAGCACTGTTTCAGAAACTCAGGCATCTTCAACTTCTGAGACACTTCACGCCTGTTAGAATACAGCATGTCATCTATGTAATGGATATATGAGGGTCATCTGGTCGACCACCTTATACTCAAGGACTGGAGAGCAACATAGGTCCACACTGGGAGTCTGGGAAAACACTTCTCTGTTAAAAGAAATCATTGCGTGGCTCATAGGTGAGAATATTTGCTCTTGAGAGTAAAAATATTCCTTACCATAGCATGTTTTACAAGGGAAATTGAGATGGCGTGTCCAGTGTTCAAAGTTTTCCTTCCTTCCTTCCTTCCTTCCTTCCTTCCTTCCTTCCTTCCTTCCTTCCTTCCTTCCTTCCTTCCTCTCTCTCTCTCTCTCTCTCTCTTTCTTTTGTTAATCCTCATCTGAGGATATTTTTCCATTGATTTTTAGAGAGAGTGAAAGGGATGGAGGGAGAGAGAGAGAAAGAGAAAGATTGATGTGAGAGAGACACCTGGATGAGAGAGAGAGAGAGAGAGAGAGAGAGAGAAAGATTGATGTGAGAGAGACACCTGGATCAGTTGCCTCCTGCTCTGATCCTGACTGAGGCTGGGGATCAAACCTGTAACCCAGGTACCTGCCCTTGACTGGGAATGGAACCCATGATCCTTTGGTGCATGGGCCTACACTAACCACTGAACACACCAGCCAGGATATATATATATAGTGTGTGTGTGTGTGTGTGCGCATGTGTGTTTTTCTGTGGCTATTTAAAGAATGCCAAACTCAAAAAAGAAAAGAAAGTAAAGAATACTGAACTTGGACTTTCTGAATATTCCACATTGTGTAACCATCCTTCGAGGTCAAGTTCCCCAAATGTGTTTGTTGATTTGAATGTTTCACATCTTATATTTGGACACATGTTGCAAACGGCTCTCCAGAAATTCTGCACAACTGCCAACTTCTTACTTAAAAAAAAACCACACAAATGTAGTTTTGAAAGTCACAGAGATAGAAGAAGTGAGTGGGAGAAGAAATGGGCTCAGGAAACACGTGATAGAGGCAGAAGAAGGGGCCCTGGGGGCTTAGGAGCAAGAAGGGTAAAGGAGCTTGCCAAGGAGGAAGAAGAGGGGAAGGGAGAGACAGGGGCGTGTTCCCAGAAGGGAGAGCCGCAACTTCTTCCTCTGACTCAACCACAGAGCGGGTCAGCTGCTGCAGCTTCTCGGTAGCTCTAAAATCTGCTCTTTCCTTCCACGCCCACGGCCTCACTTGAGCTCAGACCTGACCTTCTCTGATATGGCTTCTTTCACTAGCCTGCAAATGGTCTCCCCTCCCCTCAGGTCCCTTTCAGTCCTGTCTCCACTGTGGCCTCCAGGGAGATCTGTCTCAGACACCATTCCCATGCATCACTGCTCCATTCAACACTCCGCCTTCATTCCAGCCCCTCCCCCTTTTCTTTTTCCCTCATTTAATTTAATTTTTTTTTTAATTCTTAAATTTTTGGAGCAGGGCCCGGACCTTTTCGCATGTCTGACCTTCCTACCTGTCTCTCTGTGGCCCCTTCTGTAAATCCTTGGCTCTAAGACTCGGCCTCAGCTAGTCTTCAGTTGGTTCTTCAGGGTGGTTGTCCTTAATTAATTAAAAATATGTTTCTTGCCCTGACCGGTTTGGCTCAGTGGATAGAGCATCAGCCTGTGGACTGAAAGGTCCCAGGTTCGATTCCAGCAAAGGGCATGTACCTTGCTTGCAGGCACATCCCCAGTAGGAGGTGTGCAAGAGGAGGCTGATCGATGTTTCTCTCTCATCGATGTTTCTAACACTGTCCCTCTCTCTTCCTCTCTGTAAAAAATCAATAAAATATATTAAAAAAATATGTTTCTTGTTGATTTCAGAGAGGAAGGGAGAGGAATAAAGAGAGAGAAACATCCATGATGAGAGAGAATCATTGATCGGCTGCCTCCTGCACGCCCAACATTGGGGATCGAGCCTGCAACCTGGGCATGTGTTCTTGACTGGAATCGAACCTGGGACCCTTTGGTCCGCAGGCTGATGCTTTATTCATGAAGCCAAACTGGCTAGGGCAAGCTGTTGTCTCTTGACTGTCTGTATTAGAACTAAGGATTTTATAAATTATACTGTTTCCTGACTGATGTCCTCAGCTGTGTGAGGAAGCCATAGGATCAAACTTTTTTTTTAAAAATATATTTTATTGATTTTTTGCAGAGAGGAAGGGAGAGAGATAGAGAGTTAGAAACATTGATGAGAGAGAAACATCAATCAGCTGCCTCCTGCACATCTCCTACTGGGGATGTGCCCGCAACCCAGGTACATGCCCTTGACCGGAATCGAACCTGGGACCTTTCAGTCCGCAGGCCGACGCTCTATCCACTGAGCCAAACCGGTTTTGGCCATAGGATCAATCTTTAACATCCTCCTCCAGCTCCCCACTTTTACAACATTTAAACTCTGCCATCATATATAATACGTAAGTAAACATGAGTGGTCATGTTCCAACAAAACTTTAATTATGGCCCTGGCTGGGGAGCTCAGTTGGTTAGAGCATCATCCTGATACACCAAGGTTATAGGTTCCATCCCTGACAGGGCACATACAAGAATCTATACTAATAAAAGGGTAATATGCTAATTAGACTGGATAGACCGGATGTCTTCCAGATGTCCTTCTGGACGAAGCCATGGTGGTGCGGCTGAGGCAGAGACGGTTAGGGGTGATCAGGCTGGCAGGGGAGAGCAGTTAGGGGCAATCAGGCTGGCAGGGGAGAGTGGTTAGGAGTGACCAGGCAGGCAGGGGAGCAGTTAGGGGCATCAGGCAGGCAGGCAGAATGGTTAGGGGTGATCAGGCAGGCAGACAGGTGAACGGTTAGGAGCCAGTGGTCTTGGATTGTGAGAGGGATGTCCCGGATTGGAGAAGGTGCAGGTTGGGCTGATAGACTGCCCCCCCCCTCGTGCATGAATTTCATGCACCAGGCGTCTAGTTAACCAATAAGTGCCTAAATAAGTGGAACAACAAATTGGTCTCTCTCTCTCTCTCTCTCTCTCTCTCTCTCAATACTTATTTTTGAAAAAAAAAATATATATTTAATTTTAGAGAGAGAGAAAAGGAGGGGGAGAAAGAGAGAGAAAAACATTGATGTGGGAGAGAAACATTGATCCGTTGTCTCCTGTACTCACCCTGACTGGGGATTGACCCCACAACCTAGGTATGTGCCCTGAATGGGAATCGAACCTGCAACCTTTTGGTGTACACTCCAACCCACTGAGCCTCCTGGCCAGGGCTAGACCACACATTTTTGACAAGAGAAATGGTTTTGAAATCTTTTCTGTGCATCTAGGCTGTAATAGAAAAGCTGGCACCAAGGATAATTTAAGTATATTTGTTTAATCAATGAGAACATACAAACATTACTCTGCCATCGTCCCAATAACCCAGGAGGGTCCCAGGAATTGATGGGCAATTATGGTGGAGATTCTGGAACTGACTGGGTGATAATCTCCAGATTCAGGGGGCGCCGGGGCCTTCTTTCTGGGTAATGTGGGTGGGTCCCCTCAGCCCAGCTGACAGCCTCAGATTTAGAAGCAACGACGCCAGAGGAGGGACCTTGCAACTGGTAGCTCTGAGTCCTACTGTCCAGAGCACGGCTCATCTCAGGACGAGTGTGGCATACTCGCTGGCCTGGGCCGGCTTGGGCAGCAAGGAGGGGGCTGAAGCTGTCCCGTGGGTGGGGGCATTGAAGGCCACTTGGAAATAGGTGACATCCTGTGGGTCTCTAGCTTCAGAGGCCTGAAGGAGGAAGGGAGACTTTGATATGATGGTGTGATGTTGGGGACCAAAGGAATTGTTGGGGGGCAGAGTAGAGGAGGAAACGCTTACCGGTCCGTCCATGGGTTCCACTGCCTCTGGCTGTCTCTTTGTCTCGGTGGCATCTGGAGGGAAGAGGACATTGTTAGGGCTGCATATTTTATTTAAAAACTTTTTTATCCTCACCTGAGGATATGTTTTTTTATTTTTTTTATTTTTTATTTTTTATTTTTTAAATATATTTTATTGATTTTTTACAGAGAAGAAGGGAGAGGGATAGAGAGTCAGAAACATCGATGAGAGAGATCGATCAGCTGCCTCCTGCACGCCCCCCACTGGGGATGTGCCCGCAACCAGGGTACATGCCCTTGACCGGAATCGAACCCGGGACCCTTGAGTCCGCAGGCTGACGCTCTATCCACTGAGCCAAACCGGTTCGGCGAGGATATGTTTTTTTAAAAAAATATTTTTTATTGATTTAGGAGGTAATGGGAGAGAGAGGAGAGAGAATCATCAATTGGCTGCCTCCTGCACTCCCCACACTGGGGATTGAGCCTGCAACCTGGGCATGTGCCTGACCTGGAATTGAATGGTGACCTCCTGGTTCATAGGTCAACACTCAACCACTGAGCCATGCCAGCTGGGCGAGGATATGTTTTTTTTTCTTTTTCTTTTTTTTTTAGCCCTGCTGGTGCGGCTCAGGGGTTGAGCCTTGATCCATAAACCAGGAGGTCACGGTTCGATCCCCAGTCAGGACACATACAAGAAGCAACCAATGAATGCATAAATGAGTGGAACAGCCCTAGCCCGTTTTTCTCAGTGGTTAGAGCGTTGGTCCGTGGTTCAATTGCAGGTTCAATTCTGGTCAAGGGCACGTACCTCGGTTGCAGGCTCAATTCCCAGGTGGGGCCATGTGGGGGAGGCAACCAATCGATGTGTCTCTCTCACATAGATGTTTTTTTTCTCTCTCTCTGTCTCTCCTCCCTCCCACTTTCTCTAAAAAAAATCAATGGAAAAAATATCCTCAGATGAGGATTAACAACAACAACAAAGTGGAACAACAAATCAATCTCTCTCTCAAAATCAATCGGTAAAAAAAGAGAGAGTATCACCATCGCAGCTTGAGCCAGCAAACCAGCCCCACCTCCACGCCTCTGGCTCCCTCACCCCCTTTTCTGCCCCCAGAAGATGCCTTCCCCCTTTCCCTGTAGGATTTGCACCACAGGGGTCTCTGCTCAGGCTTCCCTCGCTCTCTGAAGGACGTACTGTTTCTGGCTTTGCGATGGCGGTGGCGGAGGATGAAGAAAAGGAGGAGGAAGAGGAGGAGCAGGAGGACGATGGCCACTGGGAAGCCGATCAGAATACCATGGTGGTTCTGGGTCTGGTTATGGTCTGTGGCTGCAAAGAAGGAGACAGTGTTGGAGCAGCTGCCCTTCCTAAAGTATCTTCGCAGAAGTCACTGGGGCCGGGTGTTCCCCCATACCCCAGCACAGTCCCGAATGGTCAACCCCTGTGAACCATAATATAAACAGAGCCACTTAAAAATAGTCCAGCCTGCCCTGGCTGGTTTGGGCAGCAAGGAGGGGGCTGTCCCCCACCCACGGGACAGAGCGTTGGCCTGCAGACTGAAGGGTCCCAGGTTCAATTCCAGTCAAGGGCACATGCTCAGGTTGCGGGCACGATCCCCAGTAGGCTGGGGGGGGGGGCATGCAGGAGGCAGCCAATCAATGATTCCCTCTCATCATTGATGTGTCTATCTCTCTCTCCCTCTCTGAAATCAATAAACATATATTAAAAAAATAGATCCAGCCTGGCTGGCACGACTCAGTGGTTGAGCATTGACCTATGAACCAGGTGGTTATGGTTCCATTCCCGGTTAGGGCATATGCCCGGGTTGCGGGCTCGATCCCCAGGGGGTGTGTGCAGGAGGCAGCCAATCTATGATTCTCTCTCGTCATTGATGTTTCTATCTCTCTCTCCCTCTCCCTTAATCTCTGAAATCAATAAAACTACATAAAAACCCCAGCTCCCATGAGCCAACCAAGATAAATTAAGAGTGTGAATGTCATGCTAAACAAGATAACTTAATCAAAAAAGTTAAGAACCATATGATTGCATTCATATATGTGAAATATAAAACTGAAAGCAGCAAAGAAACAAACAATACAAACAAAAAACCATAGACACAGTCAACAGAAGTTTAGTTGCTAGAGGGGCAGGGTAGTGGGGTCAAACACATGGTGATGGAAGGAGGCTGGAGTCTGGGTGGTGGGCACACAGATGATGTGCTATGGAATTGCACATTTGAAACTCATGTTATTAACCAATGTCACTCCAATAAATTTAATAAAAACTTAAAAAGATTGTAAAGGTAGCAAAGCGAATGTGAGAGTTCACTTCATAGAATTAAGAAGTGAGCTGCTAATAAATGAACCTGGAGATTATTATGCTAAGTGAAATAAGCCATTTTTTTTACCCTAATAGATTTTTTTTTTAGCTTGCATGCTTATGTTTCCCCTTAGGATTTCCTTCTCATTCTACTGCAATACCTGAATATCTTCCCTACATTAGTTGCAACCTTTATGCTCAATAGTCCCACATCTGTATCTACAGTTCTCCATCCCTCTAACTCAAGACATATAAAGCCAACTCTTGAATGCGTGTAAGATGTTGCCTGGCCACCTCAGAAGCAACAAGTCCAAGACACAACTCCTGACCTTGCCTCATGCCACCTTTGAAAATGCACTTGTCCATCTCTCTGTGAATGGTCCCCCAATACACACATGTCATAGCCACTGATAGAGACCGTCATGGGCCTGCAGGCTCGTTTATACTAAATTCTACTCAACATGTAGGGAAACACTAATGATGGCCTCAACCACAGAAGGTCTTGGCTCTACAGTTGTTTTTGTAAATTTCTTTTTATGGAAGGGAGAGAGAGAAAGAGAGAGAGAGAGAGAGAGAGAGAGAGAGAGAGAGACCCTGATGTGAAAGAGAAACATGGATCAATTGCCTCCCACATGTATGTGCCCTGACAGAATCGAACCCACCACCTTTGGTGCATGGGATGACCCTCCAACCAACTGAGGATGACCCTCTACCAGCTAGGGCCTTTCTCCATCCCCCCTTATTTATTTAATTGAATTTATTGGGGGGTGACACTGGTTTGCAAAACCACACACGTTTCAAGTGTACAACTCAATAAAACATCACCACACTGTTGTCTGTGTCTGTGTTTTATATGTGTGTGTGTGTGCGTGGGCCTGTGTGTGTGTTTTATTTAATCCCTTCACCATCTTCTATCCAGCCCCCCAACGCCCTTCCTCTCTAACAGCTGTCGGTCTGTTCCATGTATCCATGCCTCTCAACAGTCCTTCTTAATCCTTTACAGACTTTGTTTCCTTATATGTGGAGAAAATGCGACTCAGAGGAGGGAAAAGAGTAGCAGCGGGACACCCTGAATTAATTGTAGAAATAGCTCTCACAAGTTTAGTGTCCTCGGTGAGGGTAGGGATGAAGCCTCCAGAGAAAAGATTATCTGATTATCTCAGTTATTTGGGGCTGGCAGGATGAGTATCCATCTGCCCTCTGGGAGTAGAGCTCCGTGATGAGGGCTAGGAATCCTAGATGCTCTCAGAAATACTGGCATATGGATCAATGATGAAAGGTAGCTGTGGAATCTACAGATGTTATTTGCCACCCACAGACCATCTAGGCTTCTGCTCTCCCAATGGAAAACAGCCCGACCTCCTTCATCTGTATGCTCTTTGCCTCCTCCAGCCATCAGAGGTCTTAAAAAGTTGACTCTGGCCCTAGCCAGTGTTACAACATGGTTAGAGTGTGAACCTGCACATCGCAAGGGTCCTGGGTTTGATTTCCGGTCAAGGGTACGTACCTGGATTGCAGGTTCCATCCTGGCCCTGGTTGGGCATATGCAAGAGGCAACCAATCCATGTGTCTCTCATATCAATCTCTCTCTCTCTCTTTCCCTCTCTTCTACTCTCCCTAAAAGTCAACGGAAAAAGCATCCTCAGTGAGGGTTAATTAAGGAAAAAAACACACACCTGACTCTGTCCCTGGTAAATGAGATTTCTACTCCATGTACTTTCCGTTCTTCACACAACCCAGTGACTCACCTTGTGGATGTTTGGGCTCCATGGGTATGGGGTCGAAAGGAGCTTCTGCAAATGAAGATGAAATGGGGGTGGTTACTTTAGTTCTTCTCAGGCTCGTCCTGAGACTCACAATGACCTACATGCCTTCCCTGGCCCTGAACGTGTGATAAGAGGGCTGCATGGTGGGCAAGGGGTGAGGTTGACCTCACAGCTTCGTGTCTAAGAAGAGGGTGCTGACAACAATCCCCAGGCTACTCTCCTCCTTTACCCAGTCTTTGCTCTAACTGGACATCATCAACTTCAGGAGGGAACTTATGGATGGATCGCTTCCTCACCTCTGTCCACAAGCTGCAATGGGTCGCTGGGGTGAGACCACACATAGGGGTCTTTGCTGAAGGCACCGTAGCATCTGTAGGTCCCTGCCTGTGTGGAGGTGACATGGTCCATTTGGAAGGTGGTCTGCTGTCCATTGTCCTGGGTTGTGGAGCTTTGTCTCTGGGTGAACTGAGGTGCATCATCTTTGGTGAGAATGAATGCATCAAACTTGATTCTGGAGAAACACTGTAACGTCACATTGTCTCCTGGAGCCACCACCGGGCCACTCATGCTGGAGAGTGAGGGTTTGTCATAAGATCCTGAGAAAGAAGGAAGTTTGCTGATAAAGGGGAAGCCATGTCCAGTGCTGTGCCTTCCTATTACCAGGGAGCAGATGTGGCTCTGGCTTCTATCCCCTCCATGTCCCTCCCTGAGGGAATGTGTCTCTGCATCATCCCTGATGCCTTCCTAGAGGTAGAGGCTTTGCTGCTTCCTGCTCCGTATCTCAGAGCCTGATTCTCTCTCTGCAAAGAGGTCCCTCCTGGCCCTGCTGCCTGGGTCCCACTCACCTGTCATCACCAGATGCAGGATGTTATTGGACTGGGACCAGCGTTCTCCACTCTTATAGGAACAGCGGTACAGTCCTGTCTTTTCTCGTTTCATCTCTTGGATATATAAAGTGTTGGTTCTCCCAGCCATTAGCAATTTCCTTCTGTCCCTAGGCTCAGGTTCTTCCACTTTATATATCTCATAGACTTCAGCCTCTGGAGGCCCTTGGCACAGGATGGTCACTGGTTCATTACATAGAACCATGGATCCAGGCTGAGCTGTGATAACAGGTGGGGGGAGACTTCCTAGAAGAACAGGTAATAAATTTACAGGTGTATCTACTTTTCATGCCACCTTCCACTTCCTCCCCTTTTACAGCCAGGTGTTCAAATGCCAAGAGCCCTCTTCCCAGGCCCCAAGAGAGCTGATATCTGGTCAAACCCTACTCCATCCATGAACATTATGAGGACTCAGCATTCTGAGCCTGAGTGCTCTGGGCTAGACCCAACCCCGGAAGGAAACATTGGGTGAGAACAGTTCAGGCTTTAAAAACTTTTTAAATTTCCAATTACAGTTTACATTCACTATCACTTGGTATTATTTTCAGTTGTATAGCCTAGTGGTTAGATAATCACATGCTTCAAAGAGTGTTTCCCCTGGCTATATCTAGGAGGCCTGCGTGGTGTGTGCGGGTGGGGTGCTTGTGGCTTTTGTGGAAGCAGATGGTGTTGCCAAGGGCTTCCCACAAGACTCTTCTCTTGCTTCCAGTCACTCCCTAAGTGGACAGTGTCATCTCCAGAAGGGGATGTGGGGATGGAGGGCCTTCCTCACCTGTGACCACCAGCTGCAATGGGTCGCTGGGGTGAGACCACACATAGGGGTCTTTGCTGAAGGCACCGTAGCATCTGTAGGTCCCGGCCTGTGTGGAGGTGACATGGTCCATGTGGAAGGTGGTCTGAACTCCATTGTCCTGGGCTGTGGAGCTTTGTCTCTGGGTGAACTGAGGTGCGTCTTCTTGGGTGAGAATAAATGCATGAAATCTGATTCTGGAGAAACACTGTAACTTCACATTGTCTCCTGAAGCCACCACCGTGCTACTCATGCTGGAGAGTGAGGGCTTGTCATAAGATCCTGAGAAAGAAGGAAGTTTGCTGATAAAGGGGAGGCCACACCCCTTCCTGTTCGCAGGAGCAGATGTGGCTTTGGTTTCTATCCCCTCTGTGTCCCGCCCTGAGGGAATGTGTCTCTGCATCATCCCTGATTCTTTCCCAGAGGTAGAGGCTTTCGTGCTTCCTGCTCCGTATCTCAGAGTCTGGTTCTCTTTCTGCAAAGAGGTCCCTCCTGGCCCTGCTGCTTGGGTCCCACTCACCCGTCATCACCAGATGCAGGATGTCACTGAGTGAGGACCAGTGTCCTCTACTCTTATAGGAACAGCGGTACAGTCCTGTCTTGTCTGGTTTCATCTCTTGGATATATAAAGTTCTGGTCTTCCCAGCCAGCGGTAATTTCCTTCCAGCCCTAGGCTCAGGTTCTTCCACTTTATATATCTCGTAGGCTTCAGCGTGTGAAGGCTCTTGGCACAGGATGGTCACTGGTTCATTATATAGAACCATGGGTCCAGGCTGAGCTCTGATAACAGGTGGGAGGAGATATCCTAGAAGAACAGGTAATAAATTTACAGGTGTATCTACTTTTCATGCCACCTTCCACTTCCTCCCCTTTTACAGCCACGAGTCTAATTGCCAAGACCCTTCTTCCCACCCCCAAGAGAGCTGATATCTGGTCAAACCCAACTCAGCCCTTGAACATTAAAAGGATACTCACCATTCTGAGCTTGAGTGCTCTGGGCGAGATACAACCCTGGAAGGAAACATTGGGTGAGAACAGCTCAGGCTTTAAAACATTTTTAAAATTTTCAATTATAGTTTACATTCATGATCACTTTGTATTAGTTTCAGGTGTACTGCCTAGTGGTTAGATATTCATATACATTATAAAGTGCTTCCCCTTGCTATGCCCAGTACCCTCCTGGCACCATATATACTTGTTACAATACTATTGGCTATATTTTCTATGCTGTGCTCTATGCTCCCATGAGTATTCTTTAACTCCCAATCTATACTTCTCAATCCCTCCACCTTTACACCCAGTCCCCATACACTCTCCTCTGGCAACCGTCAGTCTGTTCTCCGTGTCTGTCAGTCTGTTTCTGTTTTGTTTGCTCATTCATATTGGAGGACAGCCCAGCCTTATAGAACCGCCAACCTGCCCCAGTAACATTGTGCTTGCACCCCGATCCTTCTGTCCAGACTCACCGAGATAGAGCAGAGTGGGAAGAACCGACATGATTCTGGGTCCTCTCTGGCCTGTTGGCCTCAGCAATGCTGCCTTTAAGCGGAACAGACTTCTCTGAAAGTCACACCAAGCAACAGGAAGTGGTGGGAGGGCCTTGGTTCTCAACCCCAGAGTGAAGGCATTTCACAATGTCTTCTACTAAAGCCTTGAAGAGGCAGCTGATCATGATGTTAATCATCTGAACTTTAAACCTCCAACAGCCCAGTCTGGTCCCTATTTTCTCTCCCCAATTCCTCATGGGCATTTAATCTTTATAAAGTGAGCAGTAAGAGGGATCACAGGTGACGAACAGGAGAGAAGTAGTTCCCAGTCTGAGATCGGCTGTGAAATAGTCAGTGAGTTCATGGCTCCTGCTGCTAAATGCAGAGTTTCCTTCTATTCATGTAAAAAATGAGTCAATAATTCTGTCTTTCTGCAAAGCTATACTCACAGTGTGTGCATGTGGTCCAGAGCAGGCCCTCCTAGGGAGGCAACGACATAATTAGTAGTTCTTTGTTTGCTGTGCATGTTCCCACCATGCTGCTAGAACTGACTCTGTCCATGGATGAAAGTGATGAACCTAAGCAAGGTAATTGCACTGGGTTTTGTCACCCCTCTGTTCCTTTATTTATTTTTTTAAAAATAGATTTTATTGAATTTTTTACAGAGAGGAAGGGAAAGGATAGAGAGTTAGAAGCATCGATGAGAGAGAAACATCGATCAGCTGCCTCCTGCACTCCTCCAACTGGGGATGTGCCCGCAACCAAGGTACATGCCCTTGACTGGGATCGAACCCGGGACCCTTCAGTCCGCAGGCTGATGCTCTCTCCGCTGAGCCAAACCGGTCAGGGCTGTTCCTTTATTTTTGCTGGTGAAAGAAAAGAGGTTTATTCGAGTGCTGGCTTCTCTTCACCCTTTTGTTGTTATTGTTGTTTTTTAAAAAAATATGTTTTTATTGATTTCAGAGAGGGGAAGGGAGAGGGAGAGAGAGGTAGAAACATCAATGATGAGAGAGAATTATTGTCTGGCTGCCTACTGTATGCCCCACACAGGGGATCGAGCCCACCACCCAGGCATGTGCCCTGACAGGGAATTGAACCATGACATACTGGTTCATAGGTCAGTACTCAACTACTTAGCCCCATGAGCTGGGCAATGCCTCTTTGTTTTTAAACCATCTCACTGGCTGAACCTTACTGAGTAGCTATGCCATCCAACTTTTCTCAATAAACACATAAGTTAGATTTAAAATCTCCCCTCTCTGCACCGATATGAGTCACTCTTCCACACAAATCTGAAGTAATGTAACAGCTGACCTTTACCACGCTTTCATTTTATCACAATCCTGTGGGGGAAAGTTGCACATAATTTTCATAAGAGCTATGGTGGATTGGGTTAATGTTTCAAGTTATTTGGTCATATCTTCATTCATCAGACCCTGAGGACATTGTAGACAATGATAAATCTTACCAGGTTCTTTAGGTTCAGAAATATCTCCTGCTGCTTCTATGGTTTCCCTGTGGTTGTGGTGTTTTAGTCAACATCCACCTAAGCTTAACCCCAGCATCATCACAACTCGTTCAATTAGCTGAGGAAGTGAGACCTGTGTTTGTGCCATTGGTGCATGGCCTGGGCATAGAGCAGAGGGTGTAAGGTGATTTAATCACAGATGAGAAATTGGAGTTTTCTCAGGATTAAGAAGATAATGGAAGATACCAACTGAGAGGAAGAAGAAGACAGGTCAAATGGTTAGATAAAACTTGATTGTCTTTGACACTGGGACAAAATATGCCTGGTATTTCTGTGTCTCTTTCTTTATCTTTTGTCTACCTACCTTCCTATTATGTATATTTCCATCTCTTACTAATACATACATATCTATAATAGATTATTTTTATCTGTCATCTATTTTCTGTTATATCTATCTATCAATCTCTATCTATCTATCTATCCATCCATCTATCTATTAATCATTTCTATCAGCTATCAATTATCTATCTATCTATCTATCTATCTGTCATCTATCTATCATCCATACCAGCTTTCTCTCTCTCATCTACCTACCTTTCCGTCATGTATATATATATCTGTAACTCTCCATGTATCTGTATAATTTATTATATTTATCTATCATCCAACTACCTATCTATGAGTCATTTATACCACCTTTCTTTCTAATCTGTGTTTTATTGATTTTAGAGAGAAAGGAAGGAAGAGAGAGAGAAACATTAAGCAGCTACTCCCTGCATGACTCCTTTGAGGATCGAGCCTGCAACCTAGGCATATGCCCTAATCTGGAATTGAACCAGTGACCTCTTGGTGCCTGGGATGACACTCAACCAACTGAGCCACAGCAGCCAAGCAATAACTCTATTCTTCATTTTTTGAGGAGCCTCCATACCCACCCAAAGTCAAATCATCTTAGGTCACTATCTATTTTGTCTCCTTTACTACTTCATTAAAAAAATATTTTTTATTGATTTTAGAGAGAGAGAAACACCAATGGTGATAGAGAATCATTGATTGGCTGCCTTCTGCACGCCCCACACTGGGGATGGAGCCTGACTGGAAATTGAACCATGACCTACCTCCTGGTTCATAGGTCAATGCTCAACCACTGAGCCATGCCTGCTGGCTAGTCCCCTTTACTCTTTACTACCCCTCCACTCCTTCCCTCTGATGACCACCACACTCTTGTCTGCATCTGTGAGTTTCAGTTTTATATCCCACCTGTAAGTGAAATGATACAGTTCTTAGCTTTTCCTGACTGACTCATTTTGCTTAGCATAATATTCTCAAGGTCCAATCATGTTGTTACAAATGGCAGTTTTTAATCTGTTCTCATGGTTGAGAAGTATACAATGCAATATGTAGATCATGTATCATAAAATTGTTCATTTGAAACCTATGTAATCTTATTAACTAACTAGAGGCCCAGTGCAGGAATTTGTGCACCGGTGGGATCCCTTGGCCTGGCTGGCGATCAGGGCCCATTGGGGCTATCTTGTCCAGTCCTGGATCAGGGCTTATGGGGGCTGGCTGGCCGGGGAAGGACCGTGTGAGGTTGGCTCCAGGGCATTTTCAGCCTGTCTCTCCCAGTCCTGATTGGCTGGGCCCCAGCAGGTAGCTAACTTCTTGTCACAGCGTCTGCCCCTCTGTTGGTCAGTATGCATCATAGTGATTAGTTGAGGGGTCGACCGAACAGTTGACCAATCAGTCAGACACTTAGCATATTATGGTTTTATTATATAGGATGTCACCCCAATAAATTTCATGAAAAATAGCATAGATCCTTGTTGTGTACAGCTGCATAGTATTCCATTGTGTAAATGTACCACAGCTTCTGTATCTACTCATCTACTGATGGGCACTTGGGCTATTTCCAGATATTAGCTATTGTAAATAACACTGCCATGAACATAGGGTGCATATATTCTTTCTGATTGGTATATAGGGCTTCCTAGGATATATTCCTAGGAGTGGGATCACTGGGTCAAATGGAAGTCCCATTTTTAATTTTTCATGGTGAGTGAACTAAGCCAGTCAGAGAAAGACAATTACCACTGATCTCACTCTTATGTAGAATCTAATGAACAAAATAAACTGATGAACAAAATATATCCAGAGACATAGAAGCATGAGTCTCAGACAAAGCAGGTCAGGAAGAGATGAACCAAAGAACTTACATGCACATATGCAAAAGCCATGGACACAGATTATAATGCAGTGAAGGCCTGGGTGGGGGCATGGGTGCAGGTTGGAGGGGGTCCATGGGGAAAAGATAGGAACATCTGTAATATTTCCAACAATAAAAGATAAGTTATAACAAAAGCCATGCTGGCCAGTGGGCACATTTTAGGCATTTGCTCTTCTGACCTCCAAGACACCCATTAGTACTGCATAATTCACTGCGATGTTGGGACATTGTGACCGATTCTGTAGGAGATGGACAAACCACATCACTTTATCTATCCAAGACAACACAGACAGCGCCTGGTTTCTTCTGGTCACCTGCCCCACAGTTCAACACTGTCCTTAGAAGCCACGAGTATCCTCAGTGTTTGTCATGACGCTCAGATAAGGATCTGATCTGAGTCCATAGAAGGACCTCTTGTGGCTGTAGCAGGCCTCCGCCACCAGGACCACCAGGACCAAGAGAACCAGGCCAGCCAGGCTCAGCCGGACTTGGTTCACACGGAACACACTCCAACCAGCAGGTACTGAGAGACAAAGAACAGAGGTCACAGAGGAGGAGCCAAAGCCCCTCTCAGGTAAGTACCCTCCACCTGAGCTCATGTCTCCAAGTCTCCTGGATCTGGGAGGTCGCTGCCCAGCCACCTTCTGCAAAGGCAATATCTGCCTTCTTTCCTGTTGTCATTATGAGCCCTGTGGTGATTGCCTTAAGGAATTCTGGGGTCATGAAAGGCAGGGGTGGGGACTGGGTGGGGAGCTTTCAGTCTTCTCCATGGGAGCCCTGCCTGGTCCTTCTTTAAGAAATCCCTCTGGAAACTATTGACTCAGCTGATGAGGAATGGCCATCCTGATATTCTTTCTGTCTTTAGTCGAATCTTCTTTCTCCCTATATCTACTTGCACCTAATCTTCCTTCACCTTTCCTGCTCCTTCTGCAAAGGCTACCAGTTGGCGCTCTCCATCCAGAGAGCACGCCTGTCCCATTGTCTTGCTTCTCCATTTCCCTTTCTCTTTCCCACTTCCCCCACCAGGTACCTTACCATTAGCTTCCTCACTGCCAAGCTCCAGGGGCCCTTGCTTTACCTCCATGACTTGATTCCTAAGCCCTTTCTTACAGGACTTACTTCTACCTCTGGAATTTACCCAATAAATGGTCTCTTACACTAAAAAAAAAAAAAGACTACCAGTTACTCACCATGAGAACGTCTGGGTTCTGTGGGATCTGAATTGTCAGCAGCTTCTGCAAATGGGGATGAAATGGGGATGTTATGTTTTATCTGTGCTCAAATTTCTGCCTGGTCTGATTAGGGGTGAGGACCTCATAGCTTTTGTAGAAGCTG